TTTTCAGCAAATAAAAAACACCAGTTGAGGTTTTTTTTTTTTTTTTTTTTTTTTTTTTTTTAAGTGGGGCTTGGGGACCAGTAGCAAAGATTCCCTAGCAACTCAAAAGGTTTAACGAGAGAGGAAAAGTCTTGTCTTTTATACAGCTTCTATGGATGATCTTATTTCACTCAACAGGGGTGACATTTGCACTAAGTCACTAAGAGCTAACATCGCTAGCTCGTTAACTGAATGCTATAAGTTCAATCCTTGCGCTTAGGCAGTACATTTTATTATTTTTCTCTTCAACATTACATTCTATAATATTTCAAAATAAACATGTTCAGCAAGACATCAATTTTCTAAATTTCCTTTTACCATTATGAGAAGTCAATTTGAATTTCAAACTTTAGACATTAGGAGTTACCATGTAAAAAAAAAAAAAAAAAAAAAAAAAAAAAAAAAAAAAACAAAACTAATTAACTAATGTTTGTTATTTACTCCGAATTGTTATTTACTACAACAAATAATTTAAAATTTGCTGTTTTTCATCTGTTTAAATAATTCGATACAGGCAGTTTTCACAGAATAATTAAGTACATTATTTTGATTTATTTAGATAATTCTGTAGAACTTTTTCGGTTCCGCTTGACTTTAGTAGTGTAGTAATTCCAGACGAGAACAATTGATTTGAAGAAATATGAAATAAATTCGTTAACTAATGTCAGTCCTAAAATATAGAAACTTATAACAAAAATATTTCTAAATTATTTATACCCGCTTCTAAAAACTTATTCTTAGAAGCCAAAATTCTTACATTTACTTTACGTAGATGACCCCTTCATACTCTGGTCAACCCAGGAAGAAGTCCAATTTCTCCTGAACCATGTGAACTCAATAAGATCATCGAAACAGTTCCCAGTGGACAGAGAAAACGACATCAAACTCGCAAACTGCACTAATATCTCGAACAGAGCATAGCTTCAAGACATCCCTATACCGCAAGCCAACATTCACCGACCTATACCTCAACTTCAACTCCTAACAGGCATACAGTGTAAAGAAAGGGGTTGTCCGCTGCTTACAACATCGAGCAAAAGTCATAAGTGGTAATTCAGAGATATATGACCAAGAAACGGTTAGTATAAGCAGTACTCTACAACGTAACAACTAATCTAGGTACATGACAGCAGCTTCTACAAACTGGGATAGAAGGGTACAAGAGGATAACAATATTCAGAAAACAGCTTCGGTCAACTTATGTGAAGGGATTATCGGAAAAAAAATACAAAAGATCTGTGATCTATATAACATCTGGACGACCTTCCAAAGTTGTTGAAAACTTCGCAGACACCTCTTTCGATTAAGAAATAGAGGAGAACTTGATTGAGGGATGTGTTCACCATCCCTGCAGCTTTGGTAAGATATATAAAGGAAAAACGGGCTGCCCCTTTAAGACTGCAAGAACATCGTAAAAACCGTAACACAAGGGGAAATAGAAAAATCAGGCGGAGCTGACCACATATGAAGGGAAAAGTGAGATCACCGTCTCCTGTTGTTTTACTTATAAATGTACTTTTTTATCACAACATTTGTTGAGGCACAAGTAAGTTTTCATAGCGAAAATGCGACCCAGAAAAAAGTTTGGGAACCACTGGTCTAGCGGAACAAAACTTGTTAACAAAAAAGGAAAGGCCAGATAAATAGAATAAAGAAATATATATAAATATATATAACAATCAAGAATGATCTTAAACTGCAAATCACCACCGTACCATTTATTTTTTAATAATTCACAACTTAGCAGATACATTTTTGGTTTCCTTATTTTTATCGGATAGAAAAGAATGAAAGAATCTTTCTTGTTGGCCGTTTAGCTGTCCGCTACCACTTTTTCATCAATGTCGATTTTCATGCAGAAAGCGGATCACATTGTGGGGATCACTTACATGTGCCACACCTCCATTTCCTTCACTATCATTGGTTCGTAAATATATGATACTTATCATATGACAATTTTGCCATCGCAGGTAATTTGAAATTTACTCTAAAATCACGGATTGGTCAATTTCCTGACCAATCGTGTATTTGAGTATCTTTCTATATTTTTAGCACCAGAAAAAAAGCCGTTCCGCTCATAACCCCTTTGATGTACTAAAGAAAGCCATCATCTACCGTACTTGAAAATCGCATGAGCGCAGGTTGCACGATCTATTTAATACTATACAGCTAGGAGATAGCCGCCCGTTGCAGTTACTTGGACGAATGAAGAGTCTGTTTGAAAGAACTCAATGTCAGAATCACTATTCCGCAAACTTTGGCTGGACAAGTTACCGCCATACACTTCACAGATTCTGGCTACGCTTCCCGATGACTTAAATCTTTCGAGAATTGCTGAGATCGCTGATAAAATTAATGACGTACTTAGCATCAACAGCGTGGACTCCCCTGTACCCACTGACGCTGCTATGATGGATGTAATAGAACAGCTGAAACAGCAACTCGAGAGGCTTTCCACTCAGGTGCAGCATCTTACCAGAACAGAGGATAAAACTCATACAAGGTACGGCGGCGCTCTCATTCTGCTACTTGCGCTTTCGCCGACCCACGCTATGCTGGTACCATCTTAACTTTGGTGATAGAGCTCACAGATGCATTAAACCGTGTACCTTCAAGCGCCAACCTTCCCCCAAAGCATTACGGATGGTGGAAATGCCGATCCCAGCAGCACTTGAAGGCGGCATCTACTGTTGGGACACATATTACTAACCGTCTCTTCTATATAAAAGACAGGAATTCTAACATGTCATTCCTAATAGATACGGGAGCACAGCTTAGCGTTGTTCCACCATCACCCAACTTCACTAAGACTAACTCTTCAGTCACTTTACGCGCCGCTAATGGCACGAACATCAAGACTTTTGGTGAGCAATCGTTAACACTGGATATTGGACTTAGAAGGACATATCAATGGATATTCACCATTGCAGACGTGAAATTCCCCATATTAGGCGCCGACTTTCTGGCACATTATCAACTCATCGTGGACCTCTCACAGCGTCAGTTATCTGACACCACCACGAAGCTATCTAACCGCTGAATTGTATCACAGCTAACATCTACAGAATTACGCATCGCTGTGCCGCGTGATAATCCGATTCAAGATATTTTGGATAAATTTCCCTCGTTGATACAACCTTTTACTTTTTACAGAGCCTGTCAAGCACAACACTGTACACAGGATTCGAACTACTGAACAGCCTGTCTATTCTAAACCTCGCCGTCTTGCGCCGGATAAATACAAAGATTGCCGGGCCAAGTTCCAACACATGCTCGACCTCGGGATTATTCGCCCCTCCTCGAGACCATATGCCTCACCGCTTCACATGGTCACTAAGGCTCAGCAGGGCGCCTGGAAGCCATGTGGCGACTATAGACGACTTAATTCACAATACCCGATAAGTACCCAGTTCCCAATTTGACCGACTTTGCTGTTACCTTAGAGGGAGCAACTGTCTTCACCAAACTGGATCTGCACAAAACCTTTCATCAGATCCCAGTCGCTGACGAAGATATTCCCAAAACTGCGATCACCACGCCATTTGGTTTATTTGAATTTCTGCGTATGCCTTTTTTGACCGCGTAATGCAGCTCAATCATTCCAACGCCTTATAGATGAGGTACTTCGTGGACTATCTTTCACTTTCGCATACATTGATGATCTTCTAATAGCTAGCCCTAATTTACAGGAGCATCGTAAACATATTCAGCAAGTCTTTGATCGTCTTTAGAACTTTGGTTTTAAAAATCAACCCAGAGAAGTGCGAGTTTGCCGTTTCGCAACTCCACTTTCTCGGTTTCGTCATTGATGCTACAGGTATTACTCCCCTACCTGAAAGGATACGTGCTATCCAGGAATTTCCGAAGCCATCCACACTTCGAAAACTTCGCAGATACATTGACTTAATCAATTATTATTGTCAATTCATCTCACGTTGTTCACAAATTCTTGCACCCCCTGACGAATATTCTTCGCGGGCAAGATCGTAAAAATACTCCTATTTGTGGGAACAACGACGCAGCGTAAGCATTTGACAACTCTCATAAAACATTGGTCAACTTTACGAAACTTTCATGCCTCACTGACAGTGTTACCACTCAGTTATCATTAACGACTGACGTATCTTCTGACGCCATAGGCGCAGTTTTACACCAACATGTTGACGCTAAATCTTTGCCAGTTTCCTTCTTTCCCGTTAAGTTGACATCCACACAGAAGTATAGTACCTTTTCCAGGGAACGTTTAGCTATATACTTGTCAATTAAGTATTTTAAACACCTTTTAGAGGGTAGACACTTTGTGATCTACACAGATCACAAGCCCCTCACCTTTGCCCTTTCAACTAAATCAGACAAGTACAATCCTCGAGACTACAGATATCTTGATTATATATCTCAGTTTACATCGGATATACGTCACATTAAAGGAAAGGATAACATTGCTGCCGATACACTTTCCAGAGCATCCTTGTGTGGAAGCCTGCAAGATACTTTAGACATGGAAAATACCGCGGATGAACAAGTACGGGAGATAACTTTGCTCGACTCACTTCGAAATTCGTCACTACATATTGAGCATCATCCCTTGCCCTTTACTGATAAGCTTATCGCGTGCGACACCAGTCTACGTAATCCTCGACCAGTCGTCCCAACCAACATACGGCGACGAATATTCGACCACTTTCATTCGTTGTCCCACCCTGGTTCTAATGCCACACTTAGGTTAATTGCAGACCGTTTCGTCTGGCCTAAGATGTGTAAAGGCATTATTCGCTATACTCAATGTTGTGTTGTTTGTCAACAAAACAAGATCCAGAGACACACTAAGTCACCAGTTGGTCGTTTTGCTGCACCTGATGGTTGTTTCCGACATCTACATGCGGACCTAGTGGGTCCCTTATCGGAAGTTCGGGGACGTCAATACATTTTGACAATTATAGATAGATTTACGAGATGGCCGGTTGCCGTTCCACTCAACAGCACTACCGCTGAATCTCTGGCAAGAGCCATATTTCAACATTGGATTTCCATTTACGGATGCCCCTCGATCATTACCACCGATCGGGGACCGCAGTTCCAATCTCAGCTATTCACAGAATTTACTAATCTACTTGGAGCTCGTCATATATCAACAACTGCTTACCACCCATGTTCCAATGGCCTAGTTGAGCATTTCCACCGCCAACTTAAGGCTGCTTTGACCAGCATAGGCACTACTAACCAATCTTCTTGGATAGACAACTTACCTTTTGTCTTACTTTCACTTCGCACACAAGTAAAAGAAGATCTAAAATGCTCGCCTGCTGATCTAGTTTTCGGACAACAATTGGTACTACCAGGTCAATATTTTTCTGTAATATTTACACAGGAACCTTTGTCCAGTTTTATCACCTATTTTCGGAAGAAAATGTCTTCCCTTGCTTTTACTCCAACCCGTTACACTTCACGTGACGTTTATGTACCTCCTTCCTGGAATGCAAGTACGTTTTTGTACGACAGGATTCTGTTAGAAAGCCACTGACACCACATTATGCAGGTCCATTTCGTGTCCTTGCCCGGACCGATAAATATTATACTCTACAGACTAACCACGGCCGATCGACTTTCTCTATCGATCACTTAAAACCTGCATGTATTGAACGCGATGGATCAACCAATCAACCTAAGAGCCCTTCGTTAAACAGTTCTCAGCTTTCGTCACCAGCACCTACTAGGACTGCTAGCCGACGTACCGTCCACTGGCCTAAGAAGTTCAGAACTTTTATTACATATTGAAAACTCTTTCTTCCCTGACTTTTCCATCTTGACAGGGTATTGTGGGGATCACTTACATGTGCCACACCTCCATTTCCTTCAATATATGATACTTATCATATGACAATTTTGCCATCGCAGGTAATTTGAAATTTTCTCTAAAATCACGGATTGGTCAATTTCCTGACCAATCGTGTATTTTAGTATCTTTCTATATTTTTAGCACCAAGCTCGCTGGAGCCTATCCATCGTTATAAAAAGACTCTCACTATCAACCAAAAGACCAGTAGCAGTTCAATTCTTGGAAAATGAGGCACGGCGCTATATTGACATTTTAATTCTTAATTATAACTCAATCGAGTAATCATACTAATTCCTATTGATATCACTCATGAACATTACATTTTTCTACACTGATAAAACACTGTGGAACTATTCCTTATTTAGCTAAGACTTCAATTGAACTTTGTACTTAAATAACATTCAATATTGCACTCAATATTAATTAGCTAAACTTACCCTTTTTATTACGGAAGAAGGGAAGCAACTTTCTTTATACTATTGTTGATATTTGTATATCATTGTTAATACAATATTTTATTAATGTTCACTGAGCTTGATTATTTTTCTCTCGTGTTTCTTGTGCATTATTCATGTGGGGTGTTGTTTTACAAGAACACAGCCTTCCTTCTTTATTATATTCACGGTGACTTTAGCCAACAATACTTACAGCACCACTACAACATCTTCATACATGTTTCTGAAAACCTGAACTTCTCGTTGGACAATAAATATTAAAATTATCTCGTATATCTTCACGTGCATTGTTCTCAATAAGCAACACAAAACATATCATGCTCCAGACTGAGTTTTGTAAGGTGCTTTCTGAGTGGTTAACAGATATTAAAAAAACAATTTACCTGCTCACCACTACATCCGAATAACATCAACCTAGTTTTTGACCTGACGAAAAAACAATGCTCTCAGGATCATGTTACGTGATTAAAAAAACATATAAATTGAAGGTACGAGCGAACCCAACCAGTGAGAATCTACGACGACTAGCATTTGCTAAACGAGTTCACGACGCTTGTATCATTACTGTAGCGAAGTACAAAGTTAGAATCTCAAGTTCTTTAACACAAAATAACTTCGCTGTAATTCAAGCTACAATTTCAACGAAACAACTCACTCACCAACTTCTGCAACTTACTAAAACTATTCAATCACGTTATTGAATCTTACGAAACTCAAGTACAAACAATTACGAACAATACATTCAACTACAAACAACGAAAACAAACGGAACATTCACTTCTCCAACTTCTTTAAAACTAAAAGTTTATCAACATATTTTCAGCTTTACAAGATTCTTTAAACTCTCTTTCAGTGAACATTTTGAACGACAAGATAATTCAGCTTTTGTGAGCTAAGGTAAAAAAATATTTTAGTAGAAAAACTTTAGCCCAGTCAAAGGGAAGTAACTAGTTATTGTAAAACTGTTGTCATTTATTGTACCTGTTATGAAAAGTTATTTTCTTGTGTTCTTTCTCTTGTTTGCTTTTTGTTTTCTTACACATTCGTAAATTAAAATGTGTGGGTTGATTTATGCCGTCAATACCACTACAGCCGTATTCAATGATATATATATATATATATATATATATTGTTCGGGCTGTTGTCCTGATCTTTATTGCTATATTCACGAGGTTTCGGACGTTGTACGCTCAGGCCTTCTTCAGGTGATATACGCTAGAATTTCGAGCCAAACCATTTATTTAGTCCATGGGGGTATATTGTTCTAATTCCACGTGTCATGAGTTTGGATATTAATTCGCAAGCCTCCATGTTTGTTTTATTTATTTATTTATTTCTCCTCTTTTGGATCCCTTAACCAACACTTTTATCCACACACATGTGTCCTTGGAGACTTCAGTGAATTAATTTTGGGGACTTATAAACGTAATTGATCAGTAAACAATTTTATTTATTTTTTTTACCAGAGTGCATATGCAAATTTTGTTATTGTTGTTTTTCACCAGCTCTCTGTATTACTGGTTGCCATATTTCACTCATGTCTGTTTGGCCGGCTTGGAAGATTTTTGTAGCCTAGCGCTGATTCATTAAGTTTTCGTATTTTTCACTGATGTTCTCTGTCTATTATACCAGCTTCGTCCTACAGAGGCGGTGATCTCCCTTTTCCCTTCATATATGATCAGCCATGCCTGATCTTCCTATTTCCTCTTGTGTTACGTCCTGATGGTGTTCCTGTAGTCTTATCTTCAGGCGACGACTTATTTGCCCTTCATATTTCTTGCCACAACTGCACGGGATGATGTACGCACAGTCCTTAATCCTCTTCTCCTCTATGAGTGGTCCTACTTGGAAGAGATGTTTACGTAGTGTTAAACCACGTCTAAAGGTTGCTCTGATGTTATATAGACCACAGATCTTTTATATCTATCCCGATAAACTGTTCATATAGGGTAGGCAGACCGAGGTTGTTTTCTGAGTGTTTTTATCATCTTGTACACATCATTCCCACTTTATGGGGGATCTTGTCATCTACCCAGGGTAGTTGTTACATTGTAGCGTACTGCTTATACTGACCATTTCGTGTTCATATGTCTCTGGATCGCCACATGACTTTTACTTGATGCTGTAGGCT